ACATGTCCTCCTCAGAGAGAAACAGACACAGAGGGAAAGTGAGAAAGCAAGCCACCAAATCCAGGAATCAAACTGCAGTCAGTCAGGTGGGAGTCCAACACCTTAACCACCATGCCACCTGCTGACTCCCATCTTGTTCTTTCTTTTTTCTTTAAATTATTTTTTAAATTTTATTTTAATTTGACCAGAGAGAGAGAGAGAGAGAGAGAAAGCGAGAAAGCAAACCGCCAGGTCCAGGACTCAAACCGTGGGTGGCCATGTGGGAGTCCAGTGTCCTTAAACACCCCGCAACCTACTGGCCCCTTTCTTGTTTTTTTTTTTGCCTCTTAAATTATATTTAATGCAATATATACATTTTATCCACATCTCAAAAATAGATGACATTACACAGTTAATCAACTCATACTTTTGTTTAATATATCACATATATATTTACACACCACACAGTTGAGTCCTTGACTCAGCGGCTTGGAAAACACACCCAACATGTGTGTATGCATGCCCCAAATCCCAACAGGATGAAGAAATGGGAGAGAAGAGACTGAGATCTGAACACCCCACTGGGGGTGCTTTCTCCCTGTTTATGTGTATAGTGCCAGCAAATGTTATGGAGGTAGAGGCGGCTGGATCCTACATGGCTGACTGAGTGGTCTGAGTCCCAGCCCTGGGGGCTCAAAAAACATGCCAGGTGTGTTTGTGCATGCCCGAAATCCTGAAAGGAGGCAGAGATGGAGGAGAAGGGATTACAGTTTGCATTCCCCATGGGGAGTGATTTCTCGCTTTCCTTCTCTGTCTCTCTCCAGCAAGTGCATGTGCCCTACACTAAACCTATATATATATCTATGTATATGTATATATATTCATAATTTTTTGGTCTTTGCTGTAGGGCATGCATGCTCTCTGAGACTGGGACTCACGCCATTTAGTGGGTCATGTGAGATCCAGTCACTTAACCTCCATGCCAACTATTGGCCCAAAGATTTTTAACTATCAATAGATTTGCATGATTAGATGCTGAGAGTCGTAGTTCACTTTTCTCTTTTCTGAATGCCGCCCCCAGTGTACTATTTACTTCCGCCAGATTCTCCCCACTGTTTATTCTTTGTGATGTCGGCGCCCTTTCGGTGTCTCTATCAGAATCTTCTGGTACTTTGGCTCCTGGTGATATCTTTGGAATGGCTGTTACACTGCATGGGGGCAGAGGAAGTGGTCGAACACGTGGGACCCCTTCTGGGTGCCATGTGCAGAGATTCACCCTGCGAGATGGAGTTTCCTATTCTCATTTCATGCGGAACAGACCGTCATGAAGAGGTGGGATCTGGCCCTGAACGTGCGAGGGTGGGCGGCCCGGCCCCTCCCAGGATCGAAGCCCACAAATTGCCAGCTCCCAGTCTGCCCGCAGAGACCAGCTGGAAAAGCCTGACCCCGGAAGTAGTCGCGGCCCTGCCGCTAGCGTCTCGGGTTGCCAGGGCGCTGCCCCGGAAGAAGAGCCTGCGCGCGGCGGGCAGGTCCGCCTGTCAGCCCGCGGCGTCGTCTTGTGAGCGCTGGAGCAAGGCGAGAGGCAGGGTCGGGGCGCGGCGCCCCGGGGCCTCTGGACGCGCCCCTCCTTGCCCCTCGGTGCTCGGAACCCACAGGTGAGGCCCCGCCGCCCAGGCCGCCGCCTTCCGGCATCGAGGGTGTGGCCGGGTGCGTGCGTGCTGATGCGCATGCGCGAGCGTGTGTGTGTGTGCTCCGGTGGCTGCACAGCCGCGCCCGGGAGGTATAGATGCTGCTCGTCGGACCGAGTCCTCGGGGCAGCCTGCGGGGACCACTGTGCGCCTCTTCCTCCCAGCTCCTATGACTTGTTCGTGCCGACCGATGATTGTAATTGCATTGTTATTCTTCCCGGACACCCCAGACTGCGGGCTTCTGGACTGCCAGTTCCCTTGCAGTGTGCATTGTTTGATGTGCAGCGTGCGTTGTTTCTGTGGGCATCCTTTGCAGGGCGCAGGGTACCTGTGGAGAGAAGGCAGGGCGAGAGACAGGAACCTGAGTTCCCCGCCCTGCTTGCTTCTCTCTGGGTCAAGGACCAAGACATCTCCCCTTCCTGTTTCCCCCATCAGTTGTGGGTGGGGCGGGGGTGGTCATCCTTGGAGGTGGGGCGTTTTAGGGGGTTAATGCTAGAATGTCTTCTGATTATTAGCTGTTCAGGAGTTTGCAAAGCAGTCTGTGTTCAGGGAACATCTAATGAGCACGTGTCAGTGCTGGGTTGTGGCAGTAGGAAAAGACGGGTCCTGTTCTGCCTTAAGATATTGCAGACATGGATGAACTGTCACCCTGGAGCATGGCAGTGTCACCCGGTGGGGGTGTGGAGACGGGCAGTGACAACATGAATGCACTATGCCCATCACATCAGAGTCCTCATTATGTTGCTATTTATTTTTTCTTTAAAGATGGCTCTTATTTTCACAGACTTGCTGGAAAAGGATGCCTCAGGATCCTAGTCTCTTTGGGATTTTTTTGATCCTGACAGTGATGAAATGCCTAGGATAGCAGGAGGGGGAAGAGGCCCTCATTTTGTTTCTTTTTGTAATCACCAGAGGTGCATGCACTCATACACTCCGTGTGTTTTTTAAGCCTCAGGGCAGGATTTGAACTGCAGATGGCCATGAGAATCTGGTTTCCTTAAGCATTGAACTACGGGGCTGACCCAACAGCCGTCCCCATTTTTTTTCCCTTGAAAGCACCCTCTACGGAGGCTGGCCACATCACAATTCTTTCTCCTCCGTTTCTCCTTTTGGGGTTTCATGTGTGCATGCACCCGGTGTGTTTCTCAAGCCATTGGATCTGGGACTGCGCAGTTGGCCACATGAGATTCAGCCACCTTAATCTCCCCGCCATTGGCTTGCCCAAGACAGGTCCCCATATTCTCATGGCTGGACCAGAAGGGTGAATATTAAGTTCCTTTCCCTGCTTGCTGTTTCTCCAAGAGGTTGACCTGACTGGTGTCGGGTTGTAACAGCTGCAGGCCCTGGAAACCCAAGACAGGAGTGCCAGCACCATGACTACCTCTGGGGTCACGCTTTCCTGCCAAGTCTCTGCCTGTGATGTGACCCGGGAGCCCCTCAGTTCAGGGACTTAGATCCTGAGAGGTGCCCGGTTGCCTACCTCACAAACGTCAGGGCCAGGATAAGAGGGGAAGGATCTGTATCCGTCCCCCCAGGTGCTAAGCCAGCTGCAGCAGGCAGATGTTCCCAGAGATTGGCTCTACTCCCAGCCTGATAGCTCTTGCTCCTGGAAAAGCTGTGGAAGTCTTTATGGATGGCTGTTTACGTGTCTCTTCCCATTATGGGACTGGCAGACCCCTAATTCTCTGTGTGCCACAAATAGCTCTTGTTTGCCCTTTTGTTAATTCATCAGATAATGCATGGAGCACCTGCTGCTGCTAGGCGCTGTCCTGGCGCTGGGGTTCCGCAGGTCAGCATTCCTGTTCTTGTGGTGCCGACATATCTGTGTCCGGACAGGCTATTGCCCAGGTCCCACATGAGTGAACTACACTAGTTCTTTGCACACTGGAGCATGCGTAAGAATTACATGTGAGGAATCAGCAGATGGCGTAATGATTAAGTTGATGGACTCCCACGTGGCTGATGGTTCGAGTCCCAGACCCAGAGGCTTAAAACTCATGCCGGTTGTGTGTGTGTGCATGCCCAAAATCCTGAGAGGAGGCTGGAGGAGAAGGGATTGCGGCATGACCATCTCCCCTTGGGGGTGATTTTTCACTTTCTGTCTGTCTGGCAAGTACACGTGTCCTATGGCAAAAATCTCTTTCAAAAAAAGAAAATGACCCGTGAGCTCGAGGCAGCTGCCTGGACTCCTCTTCCGGAGAGTGAGATGTCCCTGGAGATGGGCTTGCCCCTGGTGACAGCCATGGCTGGTGTGAGCTGGTGCTCGGGGTGGGGAGACAGCTCATTCTGTGTGGCTGCTGAAAAGGTGTCTTTGCTTTGGGGGAGTTAGTGGTTGGAGTTTCCTCGCTTAACTTGATCTCTTCCAGGATTATGGCCGGAAAGGTCAAGTGGGTCACCGATATCGAGAAGTCGGTGCTGATCAATAACTTTGAAAAGAGAGGATGGGTCCAAGTGACGGAAAACGAGGACTGGAACTTCTACTGGTGAGTACAGGCTGGCTGCACTGCTGCTGTGGCGCCCCCTTGTCAATGTTCCTGGTACTGAGAACAGAGCTCCCGGAGGGACCGGGACTCCCAGGTAGGTTTCTTCGTGCATCGCGCTGTTTCCTGCCTCGCGTCTCATCCCAAGGCACCCTGAGCAGGTGGAGATGGGTGTGGCGTGCTCCCACACGCACTGTTTATCAACCTGGGGTCAAAACCTGAGTTTTGGCACAGCCAAGTGTGACTTGCACAATGGGACATGTGGGGAGGGACAAGATCCCCGTCCTGTCTTCCCAGGAATGTGAAGGGGGAGGGGCCGTGGGAAGAGGGTCGGGCCCTCCTCTGACTTTGCGGAGTGCTCAGGGACTGATTAAAAACTGACAGGGACAGCGATGGAGAAGTGAGTTAGAAAAATAAAAGTGATGCTTTGACACCGGCTGGCACTCCACCCAGACCGAAGCTGGATCGTCCTGAGCTCTCCTCCCCATGCCTGCTTTGCTGGGAGGCTCCTAACCTCCCTTGTGTTTTCTCTATCATAGTGGCCTGGTCTGGGCCTGGTCTGGGCCTGGTCTGCCCCTTCCCTCAGGGCTGAAGTCCTGGTCTGTGAACCCGGCTCCTTGGTGCAGGAACCCCCACACCTTGGGTTACACACCTAAGCGTAGCGCTGGCCTTGCGCCCTGACCCCTGCCTGAGCTGTGTGGTGATGCTTTGAGCTTTCAGGGGCAGGGTGAGCGTATCACGGTCCCTGGAGCTTTTTCCCCTGCCATATCCCCCAGACGCACGCTCCCTGCGGGCACGTGACAGGTGACAGGTGTTTCCTGGCCTTCTCCCGCACTCTCGCAGTTCATTAGGCTACGTGTCGTTTACTGCTCCTGCTAAGGCTTTTTTTATTTTTGAGAGAGATTTTTGTATAGGGCGTGTGTGCACCTGAGAGACAGACAGAAAGGAAGAAATCACTCCCAGGAAGACGGCCACATGTAGCAGTCCCTTCTCCTCTGGGGACCTGGGGATTTGGGGCATGCGCGCATGTGCTCCGGCATGATTTTCCTTTGTCTTTTTAGGTTTTTGCCACAGGGCATGTGCGTTCACCAGAGAGAGACAGATTCTCCTCCATTCTCCTCGGGATTGTGGGCCACCAGTTTCGGGACTTGAACCAGGGTTGACTACATGGGAGTCCAGCAACATAACCATTTCACCATCTGCTGATCCCAGGCATTTCTGTGTATGTGCTCTGCTTCCTGCCTGCCCCCTCCCAACATGCGTGCACATACACACATGCACACGCCTATGGAAACCCCAGTTTGTCCTCCGGAGACAGTGTGTTCGGGGCATAGGTCCCGCCTCAGCTCACATCCTGGCCGTCCCTGCTGTCTGCCATTGCAGAGGACTTGTGCTCTCCTCACGCATACAGTGGCCTGAGCCTTAACTAAGCCAGGCAGGTGCAGGCTGCTCTGTGAGTGTGTGCTGTCACTGACCTTCATGCACTGGTGCACCCTCTGCCTGCGCTGGCACCCACTCACCCCTCGGTGCTCCCAGATTGCTTTCCTTGGATACCAGGACAGTGGGGTGTGCGCTGTGACTGTGTCCCCTGCCTGTCCCCTCCTTAAATGATGCTGAGAATCCTTGAGCGTGAGGACATCGGTTGGCTTATTTCAGTGTCCCCAGAGCCTGGCACAGGCTGGGCACTGAGTGGGGAGGGATGACCCTCGCTTTGCTCCTGACGATGTTGACAGTTCCATGCATCCTCAACCACAGGCTCATTTCTCGAGAGTCTGGAATGCAGGAGAGTGTCCCTGGAGGAGTTCAGCACCCGTGTGTGGCTGAGTGTCTAGTTTATTCTCACTCCTCGAATAGAATGTAGTTGCATGCAGAGGCCAGTGTCATAGGTGCTGGGAGGAACGGCACGTGAGACAGCTTTAGCCTTCGTGCAGTTTTAGCCTGCAGCCAGATGCTGTGTGCTTAGCAGGTGCATGGTCAACTCCTGGCAGATTCTTAGTGGGCTGGCAGCGCTCCCTTCTTCATACCGAATAAGAAACATTTTGGTGGTGGGTTTTTTCTTTTTTTGGTTTTTCCTCTAAGGCATGTGCACTTGGTGGAGAGAGACAGAAAGCCAGGGGGAGTGAAACATCCCCCCCGGGGGGGATGGCTATGTAGCTTCTCTTCTTGGGATTTGGGGATTTGGGGCATGCATGCACACACCCTTGGCATGACTTTTCTTTGTCTTTTTAGGTTTTTGCCATCGGGCATGTGCATTTACCAGATGGAGGAAGAGAGAAAAAAAGTGAGAAATCACCCTCCCGGGGTGGGGTGGGGGGAATGACCACGCTGCAATCCCTTCTCTATTCTCTCAGGATTTTGGGCACACACACATGCCCAGCATGATTTCAAGCCTGCCAATTCTGAGACTTGAACCGTGATCAGCTATGTGGGAGTCCAGCGCCTTAACCACCATGCTACCTGCTGGCCCCCTGGTGTGATTTTTCAAGCCACTGGGTCTGGGACTTAAATGGCACAGTCAGCCATGTGGGGTCTGGTTGCCTTAACCTCCACACCACCTACTGGCTCTTAGTGGTATTCTTAACAATAGCAAATAACATCAGAGAAGAAAATATAATAGCTTTAGCTATTTGCTCTCTTAAGATCTTCTGTTCTGTGGGACCAGCAGTTGGCATAATGACTATGTCACTGGACTCCCATGTAGTTGACCGCGGTTTGAGTCCCAGACCGAGTGGCTTAAACTCACGCCAGGCGCGTGTGCGTGCGTGCCCAAGATCCCGAGAGGAGAATGGAGGAGAAGGGATTGCGGCATGGCCATCCCCTGTGGGGAGTGATTTCTCACTTTCTGTCTCTCTGTCTCTCTCTGTCTTTTGGGTGAGCACTCGTGCCCTATAGCAAAACCTCTCCAAGAAAAAAAGATCTTCTGTTGTAAGCAATATGTATATTTTCAAGGGTTAGAAAATGGATTAAGGTAAAATACTAGAAGTAACTAAACATTAAACAGTGTGGGGGAGGTGAGTATGTTAGCTGAGCAGATTATGGTGCAGCAGTTAAAATAACTATGGCAGTTATGGAGCTGTACTTACCGAGAGATCTGGATAACTAAGAAGAAAAACATATTACTGAATTCTGTGTGTGATCAGATAACTACGCAGAAGTAGCTAGCGTGTGGGCGGGAGGTTGAAACGAGGACCATGACCACAGTGGCCGAGCTCGGCTGGTGTGTCAGTTCTGTGTGCGACATCAGTGCCTCGTAACCAGCACCCCGGGACGAGGTGTAGGGGCTTCAACAGCTATTCATTATCACTCATGAGTGTTTGACTAGGGGTTCTCCGCGTCTGCCAGGACGTGGCGGTTACCCCTGCAACCTGGTAACTCCAGGAAGTTGAGGCAGGAGGATCACAGGCTTCAGGCTGGCCTGGGCGACACAGTGGCGACCCTGTCTGAAAAGGAGCTGTGTGTGGTGCACAGCCTGTGGTCCCAGCAGAGGCTGAGGCAGGAGGAGCACGACGTGGTGAGACCCTGTCTTCTTTTGTGTTTCATTGCCTGTGGGTGTGTGTGCCCACCGGAGACAGAGAGAGAGAGCCCCCTGCCCCCAGTGGGGTGTGGTCGCGCCGCAGCCCTCTCTCCATTTCTCCGTCTTGTCAGGGTTTGGAGGAGGACACACTTGCACCTGGCATGGTCCTTAAAAAAAAGCCTCTAGGATCAGAATTCTTTTTTTTTTTTTTTT